TACAATACCACCATATGGATGGATGGATTGATGGATGGACGGACAGACAGACACACACAGAGTTAGAGTCAGGGTATAGAGAAAGTGTTAAGGGATGACAGAGGGAGTTTTTACACTGTGAAGACTAGGAATAGGGAAGATTCTCCCTTTTGAGAATGTGAAATGAAGAGCCGAGGTATGTTAGGCCAACTAGTATGTTCTAGGGGGAGGGAACAATGTCTGCAATGGCACAGAGGCACAAGAGGCATAATGAATTTGAAGACAGCTTAATTTCTCCTTGCAACTGGAGCTGTCTATGTGAAGAAAAGAGAGTGGAGAGATGTTGGAAAGGAAACAGAGTCAAATCATGAAAGCCTTGGAGATGACTGGACTCTATTCTAAAATGCAATGGGGGGCTACTGAAGGGTTTTTCATAGGGGACTTGTTTTATTTAAAGAATATCCATCTCTTTGCATGGAAGGGGGAGAATCAGTGGTCAGCAAGACTGGCTTCCAGTTGAGTGGCTGCAGCAACAATGGTCCAGGTGAGAAATGATGGAGGTTGAAACTCTGAGCAAATAAGAGTGCATGGACAAGAGCTGTTGAGAATACAGAACAGAGAGGCCTCCACACTTTTGTTCATATTCTCTATCTTTCACCTGGTCCCTAATCTAAAGATATTTACTTCCTTGCCCAGAGATCTAATCTTGTCCGAGTAACTCTCCTCTTTTCTTATTTCGAAATAACTACTGCCATGTGTCTCAAATGGTCAGTGAGGAAGATGAAAAAGAAAGCAAAATCATGGGAGAGACAATTCACCATAAATGCTAATGCACTGCCTTTGAACATTTTGAGTTTTAAAACATCTTGCATTCTCTAAGATTGTTCTCACAGCCCATGTTGCTATTATTGCACCAAAAGCACTTCCACGGCTTCCTTACCACAATGAAGGGTTCCCCGAAAAGTTGCCCCTTTTCCAAATAAGGCTCATAAGATATATTCATGGGCTTATGAAAAAATTATGCCTTAGTTAAAATTCTAGTAAATGTCTGCAACACATATCATTTTAAAAGCTTAAGTTTACTTCCTCAATCTCTAAGTCAAAATCCTGCTCTTTTTCTGATACAAACAGTATTGACAAAGTTACGTACAGCATGTGAAAAAGTACCATTCAAGGGAAAATTTCACTTTTCCAAATGTTGTATGTTTTCCAATTACTAGCTTAGGCTATTTCTTGGAAACATAATCTCTTCCTATCATATTTATGAAAACTTCTGATAACTATTTATACCTGTGTTTCAACTATTTTTAGAAAAGTGACTGTTTTGGGCTGGGGATTTAGCTCAGTGGTTCTGCCACCTGCCTTGCAAGTGGAAGGACCTGAGTTCGATCCCCAGCACCAAAAAAAAAAAAAAAAGTGACTGTTTGATGTTAAAAATAATTTCCTTGAATAAAAAAGAAATAATTTTAAGAAAGCAGCTTCAAACATAAAACCACTTTTATACTAGTATATATCTCAGTGTAATGTCTTACTTCCTTCTGACAAGCTTGCCCCTTCCAGTCACTGAATAAAAAGAAATTATGATTCATAACAAAATGAAACAAAAACATATGTGACAGCAGAACCTCAGCCAAGACTATTCAGAACTATTACGCCAAAAGAAATCCCACAAAACATTTTTAAATATGTACTGCACTAGTCTTCCAAGAATATCCTGTAAATTTTAAAATATTAAGTAGGATTTCATCCTAGCTATGTTCATTAAAGATGCACTATATAAATGTAGTGTTGACACACATAACACTGTATAAAACTTGTATACAAAGCAACACTTAAAACAGGTAAAGTACACAATATTTGCATTTCATATGCTGTTTTATATGGTCCCCAAATCAAGCTTAATTCCATCTATGCAGAGCTGACTGCAAGTAACAGGTATCATTAATTTTAAAAGAGCACAGAACTATGTGCTAGGAAGTATACAATAAATAGTTACTAAGTCTTTGGTGAAATACTATATTTACATACTCAACAGTATACATTAGCAAAAATTCCAGTCACAGTAACTTTTCACAAGATTTATTGTCAGAGCTTGTAAGTGGATATACTGGGAATAGTTGCACGCCTGTTAAGGGAAAAACGCCCAACTAAACCTACAATTCATGCCTGTTACACTACCGATAGAAATCAATCTTCTGGTAGAAAATAAAATAACATTCATTTTGCAGTATGTAAAGCTGAATATAACCAAGACTTGAGAGTTAAAAAGTTATAGTTCTACAACCTTAGAGGAACTGAAAAATACACACATTATTCTGCAAATAAATAAGCTACCAATAAAAACCCACCTAATATCACTTTGCTGAAAAGTCCTCAGCCCCCTAATGAAGAGTGAAGCTTCCAGGAGGAACTAAGATGCCTGCTGACTGACAATCAAGGAAGACTCATTTGATAATCAGTGTGAAAGAAAACAGACACTTATGGCTCCTAGCTTACAGCCACTAGCAAGTGAAAGATGGTCCAAATCATAAGAAAATCACCAGATGTTCTAAAATTTCTGACCTTCCAAGCCGACTACATCCTAAGAGCAAAGAAATAGTTACCATGTGCTGAGCAGCAAGGTGGGAAAAATAAGAAGGAATGATCAAAAAGAGATTCAGAAAAGGAAAATATTAACAAAATATGGACTGTCATTAGTAATTCTGGTCTTTAGAGAGAATGACAAGAACATCATCAGATCATTAGCCTTTTCCTGGAACTTGTAGTTATCACCCAAGAGAACCTGAAAAACCTAGGGAAAGCATAAAGACTAAGATGAAGATAATCAATGATCAACAATTAAAAATTATACGGAGTATCTTCCTATATCTTACCTACATAGGGAAAAATCACACTTGATTTTTTTTTCTTTAGGAAAAATTGTAGCATATAAGGTGGCAAGACAAAGAAAATGCCATTTCCACTAACAATCATATCCAACATTTTTCCTCTAGTCCACTAAAAAAACATAGATAAGATACACAGCCACTAAAAATTTTAAATATGAAAACTATGCAGCAACCCAGAATAATTCTTGGAGTAACATAAGTGGGAAAAGCCCGATGCAAAGTAATATGTGAAGTGTGATTACAATGCGAAGTGAAAAGATGTAATGATGGGTCAGGGGGAGTTATAATACACTTTTTCCAAAGGAAAGGACTGTAAATATTGCCACCTATGTTTTATCGATCAAGAACTATTTTTATACTAGTAGTCCCTGCACTTGAAAAATGCTAAATAGGTTGTTCCTCTAAAGGGAACAAAAAATAGGCACACTGCTTTATAGTTTGTCCTTTTTACTACTTCAGATTAAGGAACACGCCTTCAAATGGGCACCTACAAATGGTTGGTTCTTATCTGTATTAGTAGCCAGAGTGTAGACATTTGGACTCCGGATGTGCAAGCATCTGCCTTTCCATGTGCAAAAACTGACCATACTTTTTAAAAAGCTTATAGCATTTTGAAAGAAGTCGACTTGCTCAATTTTTCTAAATACAGTAAGAAAGAAAAACTAAAAGCAAACAATGAAACCCCGTGTTAAGAGGAACCTACTAATCTGTTAACAGAAGCCTGTTAACAACGTCTTCCTTTGGTTCATGTCTGAAAGAAACCTCTTTGGCCAACTATTCAGGTCGAGTCCTCCCAGGACTCCTATGATGAGGATGGATCCCAAGGCTAGGCAAGTAAGTGTTCTGCTAAATTGGATCCCCAGTCCAACCTTTCAGTTTGGTAGGTTCCATTCATTAAAACACCTCACACTATCAAAATGGATCACAGCACGTCCAGACTGCACCGCGAGATAATTAAGCGGGAGCAAAGTACTGAAAGACGTCAAGGATTATGGTAATAACGTTTTTGATTTCAATATGAAAGCGCGAACCTTATACAGGTTGATTTAACAATTTGAGCTGTATTTTATCTGACCGTTGCAGGCCAGGCAGTTCTTTATCGCTTCACCATGGGAACATGACTACCCTAGAAAGGCTAAATCCTCCCTAATTTTCTGCTGTGGGTCAGAACCCCGAGAATCAAATCATTGAATTTGACTGGCTGACTATTCACAGTCGAGTTTTCCCCTTCCATTCGTGCTTGTCTCTAGACAAATCCCTACGTGGCTAGCACAAACCTAATTTCTGAAGCCAATAAATAGGTAGGTCTCTGAAAAGCTTTCTCCTTTGAGGTTTCTGTCAGGGCATCTCTCCCCCAAGTCGTTGCTTTGCAATCTCCAGCGAAACAGTAATGGTAGCTAAGGTAACTGAGAGCAGGTTTGAACCTGACCAAGTGGGGTTAGCAAGGAAATGAGTGTCTCCCAGCCGGAGGGTGAGGAGCTGCCCCAAGCGGGAACATTTCTGACTGAGGGGGCGTGGGTTCGAGGCTACAGAGCGCGAAAGCAGCAGCGTGGCCTTTGAAGGCCAGCGGCTGGCGCTGCCACGCTCTCAGCAGGAAGGGGAGGGGATCGAGAGGAAGAAGGGAGAAGGAGAAGCCGCGGAGCTGGGGAGGAAGACGGCCGGGGCGGGGCGGGAGGAAGGAGGACCTGGAGGAGGAGTCGGGCGCGGGAAAGCCCGCGCGCCCAGCGCCAGCGCCAGCGCCTCCGGCAGAGTCGCACACTCTGGCCGCCCGAGGCTGCAGCCGGCGCTCCGAGCGACCCGAAGGGGCGGGCCCGCCGCAAGGCCTCGCTCCGGGGCTCGGGCCCTCCTACCTTCTTCCTCACCCTCCCCTCCCTCCTTTCCATCTCCGCAGCGCCTTCAGTCTCCCTCTGGCTGCCTCATACAAAAGCAAAATGTCCGCCACCTTCTGAGGCGCCGGCGACCGTCGCGCCACGAGCTCGGCCCGCCCTCCCGCGGCGTCTCCGGGGGGCCGCCCCTCCTCCGCCCCGTCTCCACGGCCCCGAGCGCCGCGGCTCCTGGGCGGCCGCTGACAGCCGGGCTCCTCCCGCCTCGGCGCCCCCCACCCCTCCGCCCGCCCTCCCGCCGGCCGCTCACCTTGATGCAGTACGGCGGCTCATCGTAGGTGACCAGCATGTACCTGTCTCCGCGGCTGGCGGGGTCTCGGGCGCGTAGCTGCGGGGTGAGGGGTGACAGGGGACCGCGTAGGACAGGGGGGCAATGCAAACATTACAGAAGCACCTCAATCCTCCCCCAGGCCCTCGGGATGGAGCGCGTCTCTCCCCTCCCCTCCCTTTACCTTCAAGAACAACTCCACAGCGCCTTTGGCAATGTCCAAATAGGAGGTGCCCAGGTCAGTGCGCTGGTTCATGGAGGCGGACGTGTCTATGAGGAACAGCAGGATGGGCATCTTTCCTCGCGCCCCCGGCTCTGATCCCTCTCTCCTGGCCCTCTCGCCCTCACTGCCACGTAAGGCCACGCGAACCCTCAACTCTTGCAGAGCCAGGGGGCAGGGAGCAAAAGGAAGAGGGGAGACGGGACGGGACAGATGGGACAGCTCCTGGCCTCCTCTTTCTGCAGCCCCACCTCCTCTCCCAGAGAGGGAACTTGAAAGTGTGAGCGTGTGTAGCTCTCGGGGCCCTCCCTGTCCCTCCTCCCTGTCCCTCCTCCCTGTCCCTCCTCCTGCCACCACTACTGCCGCCGCCGCCAGGACTACAGCCTAGCCATCCGTCCGCGCTCCGTAGAGCGCTCGCCCCAGACTGAGAACCCTCTCTGTTCACAGACACACAACTTTGGTCTGCTCACCTACCACCGGCACCATGTGACTAGAGATCACGCCATTGGCTGTCAATTATGGTGCGTTTGCATATTCATTAGATGACACGGCAAGGGGCGGGACTTGGGCGAACCCTGCAGTTTGAGGTTGAACCCTTGCTGGGGGTAAGGGGGAAAGTTAAGGACCCTCCTAGGCTTGGATTCGCCTTTAAAGGACCTGGAAGCTTTTAGGATAATTGGTTTGGGTGGTTTGGATGAATTTGCTCGCGCTCTTCAAAGGTGGTGATTCGAAAGGAAGAGTAAATTGAGCAACAGTTGTATGGAAGTACAGAAGCTAACTGCAATGGATCCATCCTGCTAGTGGCTAAGACCAAAACATTTCACAAGCAGCAAACTTCTTTCCTGGCCAGACTTACTCGCTTTCCTTTAGATTCGTTACTCCTCTTGATCAGTTCTTGTTTTTCGTGTGCTGGCCTTGTATTCCATGTATATGTATACGCACTTAGGGAACTGAACAGTTAGTTACTAAACTGGCCTTTTGTACGCACCGACTTCTTTAGTTTCCGCGAGCTCTGACGCCCTGGTCTGCCTGTGACGATTCTGCCAAGGTTGGGTCTGCACAGCCTTTACACATGGGAGGTTTACCAACTTTGATTCATTTCTACTCGCATTTATTGAACACCTATCAAATGCCAGGCACCCATGATAGACTCATTTGACCTTTGAAATAGCTGTGATAGGTGGGATGGGATTTAATTTCCGGTAAAGGAAACTGCAGCTTCCTGAGGTAAGGGTAAGGACGAGAGGTGCCGTCAGGTCTGGCTCTGTGAAAGGGCTCAATAAGTGGTCAGTTATGCTTTGTTGACTGCTTCAGGGGACATGATTTTTAAATACAGAGTATTAGCCAGGCGTGGTGGTGCACACCTACAATCCCTGCACTCAGGAGGCAGAGGCAGGAGGTTTGCCACGAGTTAAAGGCCAGCCTGAACTGCATAGTGAGACCCTGTCTATAAAACAAAATAAAATAAAATAGAGTATTTCTATATACTATATGCTATATATAAATATATTTCTATATGCTATGCGCGATGTAGAATGCTGGGCTTCAATGAGTTTACAATGTCAATGAAGAGAGAAAATCACACCTATTGTATGGGTATGCAGAATCTTTTTTTTTTTTCTTTTTGAGACAGGATCTCGCTATTTAGTTCAAGCTGGCCTCGAACTCCTAGCGGATCCTCCTGCCTCAGCCTCCTGAGGGCTGGGATTACAGGCATGTACCGCCACACCCAGCTGTATGTATAGTCTTTTACACATTCTAGGTAGTGTTCTATCTTTTCTTTTCTTGTTTGAAACAGGGTCTCACTCTTTAATTCAGGCTGACCTTGAACTCACTATGTAGCCACCCAGGCTGACCTCAGACTTGCAGAGATCCTCCTGCCTCAGCCTTCCAAGTGCTGGGATTACAGGTATACACCACCACACTCAGCATGTGCTCTATATATCGTGTATAAATATGTCTTCGATAACATTTCAGAGAAATAAGATTTCAAAAGAGGTCACACGGCAATCTCTGAATCAAGGACAAACAAGTGATGCAAATAAAAAGTGCTTTGGAAGCCCAGGGCCCAGTTAGTGGTCTAGAAGTTCAGAAGGTTTCACAAACAAGGCAAAAAATAAAAAAATTAGAAAAGGGAAGGGAGATAATTTAAGTGGGAAGGAAGGAATGGTGTGAACAAAAATTCAGCCAGAGATAGTATTCTGCATGTTACATTTTAGGCTTGTCTGATGTTATATAAGGAATATGAGGAATTAATGGGAAAATAAGGATGAAATAAACACTAGAAGCTCCCATTTCCATTCTGATACAAATAGTATTGGGGAAGGACAGTATCTACATTGGCGAGGGTGCTGAAAGTATAGGACTGGTGGGGACTGGTGTGTTAGTTTACTATTGCTATATAATAAATTACCACAAATTCAACAGCAAGGTGCATTTATCTGGCAGGCTGAAAGTAGTATATTATTACTCAGAATTGACTTCAACAAAAATCAGCCTGCCAAATAAAGGCACTGGGTCAAGTGGTGCATAGATTATCCTTTGGTTAAAGAATTATAAAATTTATTTTCCTTTTCTTTTTACCTTCTTCCTTTCTTTTCTTTATTTTGTTTTTGAGATAAGCTTTTGTTATGTTACCCAGGCTGCCAAGCTGGCCTCAAGCTTGCAGTCCTCCTGAATTATAAGTGTGTGCCAGAGTACCTGGACAGATCACAAGATTTCTGATTAGGAATAATATATATATATGGCAAGGACTGCTGAGAAATGGTGTGTCCCAGTTCACAAATGAATGTTATTTTTAGAGGACGAAACAGTCTCCTTATACTTTCATTTTAACAATGAGTGTGACTTACTTTGTTTTTTTTTTTTTTTTTTTTTTTGGTACTTGGGATTGAACTCAGGACCTTGTGCTTATGAGTCACAAGGCAGGCAGCAGAACCACTACTGACCTAAATCTCCAGCCCAGTGCCTTACTCTTATAATTGGAAAAGATGCTATGTTGAAAAATACACTTAAATATTCAAAAGAGTTCTCCCTGGATGAATATTAGAGAAAAATTTCAAAAATGACTATCCAGCATTGGTGAAGCCCAAATTGTTTCAGTCAAATCATTTTCCAGGGATTGAACACACACAGCTCCTCATGGGGTGGACCTCTGAGGAAAAGACATTCTCCCCAGGGCAGGCAGATGCCTTTCAATGTACTTAGTTCTTTCAAACAAAGCATGTTATTTGTTCTTTTTGGCATAAGCTCAAATGGAATTGAAATGATGTAAACACAGAATCTGAAAAATATCCATGTTTCATTAAAAATACTAAAGCGACAATATACAAAGAAACCAACCTATTTGATTTATGCACTTATTCTGATTACATTAAACTCCAAGCCCTCAGTATGAAGCCACTCTTCTTCCTTTTCTGGAGGAAAAGAAACTCTGCATTATGCTAGACAGATCTGTTTTTTGGGTACATAGCAATACTGAAACTTCAGAGCTCTTTCTGTCATGTTTTGTGCTGCAGAGTATTAGCCGCCTTGTGCTGTGGGATATCTGTGCTTTGGATAGATTTGCCTCTCCTTCTAGAATGTAAACTCCTTGAGAGGCATCAGAGCTGGTAAGCAATGCCCGTACAGAGTAGCTGCTCAGCAAACGCTTGTTAAAAGAAATTGTTGAATATGCTGTGCTTTTCTTTCTTTCATTGTCTTTCCAGGTGCTTGGGTGTTATCCTGTGACTCCTTTCCTAGGGCTACCCAGCCATGCCTTGTTGCCTCATCTGCCAAACCCTACCCAAGTGGGATAGCAGACCCAGTTCCCTGTTCTGAGGAGCTAGAGCCTTTAGGATTTGAGCCCCAGGAGGCCCCTTCAGATCAAGGCTTTGAATTGACATCTTTGTACCAACCTCAGCAGCTTCCTTCGTGTTCTACTCGTGCTTCCTTGTAAAGTGGCTCTTTGGGGATGTCACTGCTCACTGTTTGTCTCCCCCAGTCATATTTTCTTCCCTACTGCCCCCAATTTCAGGCTTATTTTTACTGCCAAGCCACTGACTAATGAAATGTTTTGCAACTGCAGTTCTATGATCTGCACTAACCACCTTGTGCTCTCTTTAGTCTGCTCATGCTTTTGGAACTTGTGAGATCTTGAACTTTTCTCTTCATATCTCTGCTCTTTATCTGCTTTTCATTGATTATTAGCCCCTAAATCAATTCACTTTTCTTCCACACCATTGCAGCCCTTTCTACCACATGTCTGGAACCGCCAGATGCCTCTTAGGAAAGATTTCCTACGGAGTAGGGCTCTCTTTGCTCTCATTTCCTTCACATAAGAGTAGTGGACTCTGCTTCATGTTTATATTTTATGTGGTTGGCCATAATGTGGTTTATCATCACATAGGAGACACTTTGTTTTGGTAAAGGCTGGTTTGACTTCTTGCTCTCCAAAGATTTGTACCCTCTTGTCTTTAAGCAGGCCCTAGTCACATCTTGACAAAAGACCTTACTTAACTCTCTCCCAAATCTTGCCTTTCATGGCCGGAGGGGAGTAAGATCTTCCAGCCTGCTTTCTCCACCACCTACTCACTCTTCAAGTCCAGGCAATCTGGTTTTTCTCTCTAGCTCTTGTGGAAACTGCTCGGATTTCCCCAGTGGTCTGACCCTGGCCAAGTCCATTGGTCTGGTCTATATTTTCCTTTGTTGATTGCAGAACTACTTGTTCTTGCCTTCCTGAGCTCCCTGCCTCACCAATCTTGCCTTTTAATCACCTGCCATTTCTCCTAGAATCTTTCTACTCCTTGGACTAATTTCATTCACCTTCCCTGACTCCTAAACTTAATTGCTGTCTCACCCTGTGGCTACTTCATTTCCACCCACTGTCCCCCCCACCCAGACTATGTTATTTCTGTACCTTTTATTCATTTAGTCATTTTTTTCTTTGTTTTACTCAGATATTTCTTGAGTGGATCTTCTATATGGCAGGCAATGAGGATACAATGTAAAACAAGTGAAATAGCATATTGAAGTAGTTAAGAACTTGGATTTTTGGGGTTCAAATCCTAGTTCTGCCATTTACCAGCTACATGACCTTGGGCAGGTTACTTAACCTCTCTCTGGCTCAGCTTTCTCATCTGTATGACCGTAATAGTAATAGCACCTCATAAGACTGTTAGGAAGATTATGTGAATTAATATTGATGATGAGCTTATAGAAGTGCTTAGCACAGGGTAAGCACTACATAAGTGTTAAATAAAAGCCCTCCAAAAGTTTGTACTCCAGGGGGGACAAAAGCAAAAGACTAGATGCAATATTATATTAAGTGCTGTGAGAAAGGAAATTCAGGATGTTATGGAAACACTGAGAAGCAGCATATATTCTAGAGGGAGTGGTGAGGCAGGGGAGGCATCTAGAGATTTTCTG